TGTGTGTGTGTGTGTGTGTGTGTATGCGCGAGTGCAAGGGAGGATTTGCAGGTTTAAATTATAATTATGTATCAACTACAAGCGTGCTGTAGGCCTACTTTACCGTATTGCCTTGTTTTATTTTTTTTATCAAGACAGACTTTATGTTCCTTGCTCTTTTTATTTTTCATGCTTGAACTTGAAACGATTTTTGCTTTTTTAAGTTTTTAACATTACAACTACCCCAATAGTCTGTATACATCAATACATCATCATGTACTCATACATTTACTCTCCTGCCACACATTCCAAAATCCACAAACACTACGTTAACTACATGATACAAGCACAACCTTTTCAACAGCTTCACTATCACAATTATATTTATAACACCACTTGTATAGTACTATCAATTTCTGTTTCACGATTCCATGACAAAACAGATCTATACTAAATATCCATTAATAGTGTGAAGAGCGAAACATTCCGCCTTCCTCATCCACCTTTTGTCTTTCTAAACTTGCGTTTTCCTTTTTTTTCTTCAATGTTTGTATGATTTATTCTAGTGCTTGTCAACCCCGGAAGATATTGTCCTCTAGTGGGCGATGAGGTAGTTTTTGTGAGTGGTGGGAATCACCTGGGCAGTGACATATATAATACATGTAATAATATTAGTAATGGCCCACTGGGAAATACAAGTAGTAGTAGTAGGAGGGCAATGCCAAAGTTTTACCCTGTTACTCTTAAAGTAAGTTAAAGGTAGTATCGGTGGCCGCTGGCTATAAAAAGGTTGACAAGCACTGATTTATTCTTTTAAATTTACCATCATTCCAGCATCAGTATACTTGATTTTCAATAATTATTATCAACGATTCAATGCACCTCAATTCACAATGAGATAGGATGGCACGTTCCCTCAAAACACAACTTTAGAAACATAGGCCTACTTGTGCTACACAGCTGCTGATGTCTCTACACGTTTTGTTGTTCCTCACACAAACTAAATACCTGTGTGTATAACTATTGGTACAATGTGCTTTGAAGAAATGCTGGTCAAATACAGCCATGCCAAAACAAAGGGGGAAATGTCTTTTACTTGCTTTGCATGAGAGGAGAGACAATCAGCATGTCTTGTTAAAAAAAAAAAAGTTTTACGTACTGGAATCTATAAATAATTCAACAATTCAGTTTGTGCTGTCATATTTCACACCCCTTCCCTCCATCACAATGTTGTTGTTTTTTCTCACCAACAGTAGAATTATCAGGGTTTTTATTTGTAGCATTATTTTCTAGCCAGCTGACTTTAGCTTTTGCTTTTACTGTGCCTGTGTAATAATATATCCACCTATTCACCAAAAATTTCAATCACATGTTAGCATGTATATGTATACATGTATATATTATATATATACTCTTTTTAAAATAAAACAATACATATTGCAGCAAGATTTTTGTGTGTGCCTTTGTTAATTCGTAATTTTGAAAACTAAAGTTGTGTTTGAAGATGTGGGTTCAACTTTCAAGGCTCTGGCCCAACACTGTGTCCATGGAAAAGGTACTTGACACAACTTGACACAAGTTTTTCTCACTTTGCGCGGGTGAATATAAAAATAATAGCACAGTACCTTGCACTGTATGCTTCACAGGAAGTTGAGATTGTTTCAGGATGCTATCAGGTCTGCTGGAGCAATAATGTGTGTCACGACGCAGTGGATTCAGGCGCTTGCCAATATTTTTGGGCATGTTATTGGGAACAATCTTCAAGCCTACTCATTCACCATATCTTTCTAAATGAAAAAAATACCAATGTATTTTTAACAGAAGTATTAAAAGTGGAGACAATTTGCTATTGAAGGAGGTGGGGGTCACCTAGTGTCAGAGGTAAATGGGTGCCAAGTTTGGGGACTTCTAAATCTGTAGTGTCCTTCGAAACTACAAAATTTCCATTTATTATACCTTCAACCAATGTTTTTCAATTATCCAAGCAGGAATGTGTTTGTAAGTGGACATAAAAGTGGAGTCCAAAACAAAACTTTCAATGAAAATTGTCCAACAGGCGGAACAAATCCTTATTTTGACCAGCGTCTTTCACCACGACGACGCCCACTCACATACATCTACAGATTGTAAAAGCACATAGAGCTTGCTGTTGAACAGAATTTTGAGCTATACAAATACTATTTTTATTATTATTATAACACGAAAACGCACTTAGTGATTTATCATAAGGAAAAATGTTGACTGGTCAATCTCACCAGCAAGGATGTTTTGGTACAGTGTACTACAACACTCCTAGCGCAAAAGATGGGCCTGCCCCAAGACAATCCGCAACTATGAGTAATTTGTGAAATTATTTGAAAACATACCAAAGGGAAACAGATTTTATGGACGTATGACATGTTGAAATGTGTGTAAATGTATGGCTGTATACCACAAGCCTACCACAAATTTTCTCACAAAAATTAACAAAAGAAGTACTTTTCTTTTCTTTCTCCCTTTTAGTTTTAGTACGGTAAGAGTTTTACGGCACTTGCAACACAATAATGTCATATATATGCCGAAGATTTGAAGTGTTACAAGAAAGTAACAAACATAAAAAAGGAGGGGGAGACAGAGATGATAGATTTTTTATAGGAAAGAAGGAGCAAACCACACCAGAGTTTCTCCCTTTAACCATAACTCAAAGATATAATGTATAGTGTAGTCCAGTCCACTGACACCAAAATCTGTGGGGCCGTTGAATTTTCTTAAGTGTAGCAGAGTTTCAGTTTAAAGAGGTAGCTCAAATACTTTCTTTCAGTTTTCCACTGTTTACAGAGTAATTGTTCAATTTAAGCGAAATCTACTGTACCGGTACCATAAAAATCCTTAACCCTTCCCCTGATATAAGGCTTTACAACAACAAAATTAACAAAATCTAAAAGTCAAAGTGAAACAATTTTATTGTGACATTTTTCAGTCCATGTGAAAACATAGCATCAAACAACCAGCAACATCAACAGAGCTGACACGACGATTTCGTCAAATAACCAAACAACAAGGCAATTTAACAGTATGCTTGTACGTTGCTGCATTTGGCCAGTTTCGATACCACCCGAACTTTGACGACAGTTCAACCAGGCCCTGGTTATATTGAACTACAAATACAAAACGTGAAATTGATTTTTTTTAAACCCTCACATGAGCATTCAATAACCATGAAGTTACTGAAATGAGCACATACATACATGACACATTCTTATGAGCACATACCAACCCCCCCCCAAAAATAATCAAGAATTAGATCAGACACTACACTCATATCAACCAACATTTGCACTAACTGACCATCTAACATTTGCACTTCAGGAAATAAAAATCTTGAATTTTTCAGAACCCGGAGAAAGGCGCAAGCGTATAATATTAATACATCTTGTATCAAAACTCCATATATAGTGCACCTATCCCGATAGTTCCAGAAATTCAGATTTATCCGCAAAATCGGCACCTCTGACCCCTCCACATATTCATTATTCCATCTTTCCTTCTCTACAACATTCATACACACAAACACTCTTCATACATGCAATCCACACATTTAAAGCCCCGAATCCTGCCAGCAACTACAAGTCAAGACTTTCTCAACTTAGTTTATGATCCTCTCCATAAGGTTGAGCCTTGTCTTGATTTCCTTTACTCTCAGGACAGGTCAGTGTGAGGTCAAGGTCAACATGTGTGGTAATCCGTCCTCTCTTCCATCTCAGTCTGACCCTGATCCTTTCTCTGACCCAGACGCTTCTTTCTCTGACCCTGACCCTTTCTCAGAAGCCGAGGCTTCCTTCTTGTCCTGAGGAGAAAAGAAAAACAACTGGGAGTTGAAAAATTGAGCATTTCGTAGCAAAGACAGTCAAAGAGAATTGGGAAAAGTTGATTGCGGTTAAGATTTACATCACTTGATACACCGAATATTAAGTGTTACTAGACAGTTACATACAACTAAAAGAAGGAAAGATGAGAGATGATAGATATTTGATATGAAAAAAGGAGCAAATGATAATCATACAAGAGCATCCGAAGTCATGAAAAGGGATGGGGTGTAGGACATACACAGAGAACCACTGAACATCCTCTCAGGGAAAGAAAAAGAAAATCTTAGCTTTCACAAGCTGAACTTGGTAATCACTGACAAAGTACAGTCAGGGAAATACAGACAAAAAATAAAAAATAAAACTGAAACAAAGCTATTGTTTGGTTTACAAAAGGTTCTAGTTGTAGCACTACATTAAACGAAAACTTCACAGCTGACAAAAAGGAAAGCATGAGGCAGGAAATTTAGATGTGTATTAAAGAGTTAAACTAAAACCCATCTATGAAAGCAGGAATGCCCATAAAAAGAAAAGAGGTGCAACAAAAACCAAAAAAACCCACCCCACAACCCAAATAAAAACTATAAAATGCGTAATCGCCGAATGAGAAAGACATGGTGGCATGTAAAAAAAACATAAAACAACTGTCAGGCATTGATAACTCATAACATATCAGTCAGTCAAAAGGTGCTTGACACTTTCATAAATTGATTTAGCCAATAATGAAAAGGTAGAGAGACATTGGTCAGTGTAAACTGTACGAGATGTCCATGCCATCCATTATTTCCAGCTTCCCATGCTCCGGGTCTGACTATATACATTGGCATCACTAGGGCCATGAGCAGATCAGAGGTGCCAAATGGCTATGAAAAAAATGAAAATCTGAACTTATCAGACCCCGCAGAAACGCACCAACAGGGGCTCAAAATGGACAGATCATATTGTCCAACACATCTTGTAACAAGTCTATTTTCATTTTAAAATGCACATAGAAATCACAATACAAATAAATGTATAAGTAGGAATATATTACAACATAACCACACACGGTTAAAAAATATGGACTTATCCAGAAAATCGGCACCTCTGATGATAGAACAGAACAGAAATGTAAAACTATTTTGTCCCCCAAACAGCCATCAGCAGACAGCCACCCACCATTCCTCACCTCATCACTTCCCTTTTCCTCGTCACTCCCGGTGGCCTTTGCCGGGCTGTCCTCCTCCTCCTCGTCCTTCTTCGACTTCTTCGCCATCTTCTTCAGAGGCTTGTCGCTGCCCTCAGAGCTCGACCCGGAGCTGAGTCCCGAGCTAGAGATGTACTCTTTGCTCTTGAAGCTGCTGTTGCCTCCACCACCACCACCACCGCCTCCAGCAGAGGATTCCGGCTGAAACAACGAACACAGATGGATTGAAGTTTTCTTTTTGTTTCAATACGAGTTTTTATTTTACAGCATTCGCAACACAATTAGGTCTTGCAAGTTACAAAGATTAGATGTATTACAAGAGAGTAAACAAAGAAAAAAAAAAAAAAGAGATAATGACCATTGATGTTGATGATGTTGGACAGGAAAGGAAGGAGCAAATCAAACCAGAGAACCTGCCGACAATCACCCACACAAGTTTTCTTCAGATCTGATTTTAACACAAATTAGGAGATGGACTATGACATACATAACACCATACAATTACAAATCTCACATCATATAACTATAAATTTACATATACCGGCCGATGTGGTGCAGCTGTTAAACACCACAGTCGAGCGCAGCAGACCCAGGTTCCATTGCTGGAGGGCAGGGGGATGTATATTCAGTATCTTGGTCTTTCTGCTGAATGTTGAACCCCGCATTGGCCCCGACAGGCATGGTCAAAGCCTGCTTCTATGGACTAAATTGTGGTACCTACGAGTGCCGATCCTGGGATCCAACTTACCCTAACAATATCAAAACTTGTGTCACACATTACAAACATCTATTTTTTTGGTAAATGTTTTACAGCGCCCGCAACTGCATAAGGTTATATGAGCGCGCGGGACATTTTTAGTATTTTCAGATAATAAGAAATTTAGAATTTTGCACGGGTGGCAACCGAAGACTATTCTTATCAATTTTTAACCACAAGGGGACTTTTAAAGTGCGCAACTTGCAAAAGGGACCTCCGAGAAACCATCTTCAATTTCAATTTTTTTTTAAATTTCCAATGTGGGTGCTTTTACTTCCTCACCGACACAAACAGCTTCAAAAATGATGTTAGTATGAGTAAAGAGAAGTGCATCCACATGACACCCATTTAGTATATGGGGAACCATCTCCCCCCCCCCCCCCCCCCAAAAAAAAAGACAAGCAGAAAAAACGGAGACAAAGAACAGAAAGACTCACCAGTGTCCCCTTTAGACATCCACACACACACAGAAACGACAAAGGGGGGCAAAACAAAAGGACTTTCTAGAGACCTTCAACCACCACAAGAAAAGAAAAGAATGACCTACCAGTGGCACCACGACCACCAGAGGGAATGAAAACAAAAACCTACCAGATGTAGCATCTAGCCACAGGCATTGAAAAATAAAGCAATCAAAGAAAAAAAAAAAAAACACAAAAAAAAAACTAACCTTCTTTTTGGGAGAGCTTTTGGACTTGGCTTTAGACTTCTTGGGTTTCGCCTCCTTCTCACCATCACTCTCGCTGTCAGAGACTTTGTTCTTGTTGTACTCCTCCATGGCCTTCTGGTATTCTGCCTTGGCCTCCTTCGCCTTCTCGTCCCACTCCTGGGGAAAACACAAATGCCATTAGCTACCAGATCAAACACCAGAACGCGCCAACTGGCTACAGGGTTCCCACTCATCAAGAAGAAAAAAATTCTAGGTTCCCCCCCCGCTTGTTTCCTAGATTTTGTAACCATTTTCAATATCTCTGTTTTTTAAGATGTCAGCGTTAGGAAGTAAGAATGAAGAGAAATGCAAGATAAATTCATAACATAACCATGGACAGTCCCTTTCCCTGGGGTGTGAAGGACAGGGGGTCGTAGGATAACTAAAACGTAAAACAAAGGTGTGATGAAAGAGGACTGGATGGGCTCATCATTGTCAAGTTAGTGGAAAACAAAAGAAGGGGAGGGGGCATTTATTAGCTGTTATTGTGACTCGTGTGACTCTAGCAAAAACAAAACAAACCCATGGGGCGGGTCATGGGCATTTGATCCTGGTTGTGCATCACTACACAACATGCAGCGCACCAAAACCCTGTGGCTACGAAAAAAAAAATTCCTGCCTTTCACTCCTGGAAAAACACAATTGCCATTAACAACCAAATCAAACACTCGGATGTGCTAATTGGCTACGTAAAAAAAAAAAAATTTTTAATCCTGAACTGTTCAGACCCTGTGGAAAGGGATATTGTTTAATACATGTACATCTTGTATCAAGAAGTCAGGCAAAATCTCTTTTATTTTAGAAATCTGGACTTCCCCATTTATCCGTTAAATTAGTAACTCTAAACACCGAGATGTCGGGTCCCAAAAATTGTTTTACAGTCTAATCATGAAATATGTTCTGTATGTATACATATAAGTTCACCCATAAAATAAAAGAACTAAGTCAAAACAGAGCTGAATTCCTCCCCCCTCCCCATACTAACTTACTTGACAGTGGAGATCCTTTAGTTTCAGCAAGAATTTTATGGCACTTGCAACACAAGTAGGACATGAAAGTGCCGCACATGAAAAGTGCTACAAGAGAGTAACAAAGAAGGAAAAGAAGGACAAAGACAGATAAGGACAATAAATGTTGGATAAGAAAGAAGGCGCAAAAAAAACAAAAAAACAGAGCACGCAGAAACCACTTACTTGTGATTTTTGTAATTATGTACCTCCAAAGGCACAAAAACTACAGTGGACGCTGCTTAAACTGAACAGGCTTTATTTGAACAATATGTTAAAGTGAACGATATTCTGAGGTACCGATTGAAATGCTATTTGTTTAAGTAAAAAAATAGTCGATAAAATGAACTGGTTTCATTGGGAAATCGGATAAAGTCAACGCCCAAAATGAGTGAAAGCAAAGATTGGACCGACCGTGCCACTGTCGCCATGCTGAGAAAATAAAATTCTTTGCCTTGGGCATCAGCAGACAATTCCAGCTCGGCATGAGCGACGGCAATTTGTATCAGAAAGAAAGAGCTCTAGTCTAAATCGCCCACTGTGTTGTCCCCTCACCCCACCTTCACCCTAGACCCACCACTACGCGTAGCTACTGTTTCTAAGCCTCCACCCTACCAAATTGCTTAAACTGACCCTCGGATAAAGTGAACACTTTCTTCTGGTCCCCAAGAGTTCTCCACTTTAAGACTCAACTGTACATACCGTCTTGTCTGTGACGGCCTTCCACATCTCTCCAGCCTTCTTGGATACGTCTGTGATAGAGATGCCTGGGTTCTCCTCCTTGATCTGTTCCCGATGCTCGTTGAGCCACAGGAAGTAGGCAGACTGTGGCCGCTTTGGCTTGTTGGGGTCCTTGTTCTTGTTCTTCCTCTTGCGGGAGCCTCCTTCTTTCTGCAAATTGAAAAAAAAAGGAAAAAAAAAAAGGAAATATTGCCATTATTTCTAAAGGTCAACTCTACTTCATAAAGCAGAGGTTCTAACTGGCTGGACTTTCCCAATCCCGTGGAAATGTGCATGCTGGGACTAATAACTTTCAAGTAATATTGTCTACTGCATCTTGTATCAAGACTATTTTAATTTAAATTGCAATATGACATGTAAAAAGAGACTAAAATGTAAATAAATGAAAAAGGAAAGGGCATAGGTTTAAAGCAAGAATATCTATATCTATATATATATAATAATAGTTCTTCTATCATTGCTCGACGCATCTGCAGAGTAAAGGACATTCCTTAACTCATTCGCTACGTATTATTTTCGGCTTGTGGACAAATTTTTTTCAGGAGGGCGAAATGAGATGATGTCCAGTGCGCAGTTCACAGGTCTTGGGGGCCATAAATTCAAATAAATATCAACATATTATATACCAACATTTTCAGTATGGTTTGTAGAATACATCTGTATTGTTTATTTGTGTATTTTTCAACCTTAGTTCCTGTAAGAGGCGATTATGCAACACAATTGTGATTGACTGCGGATAAAATTTGAAAATAAAAAATTAATAATCTCAGGTGAAACTAAAAAAATATGTTTGCACCTAGGCAAATGATACATCAAATTAACCATAACTGTATATAGAACAGGAAAATATTGAAAAATGTGCAGTAATTTACATACATTCCATAATATTTGTACATTTGGATCATAACACCCGATACTGGAAAAACATTTTTAAAAAATAATTTTGAAAAAAGGATCACAAACAGAAAAAACACTCTTTATCTTATATGGAATTATTCAGAATTGCATTTGGAATAAACCTATACATGTCTTGGATGGTGTTTTTTGAGTAATTTCACCAAAAAGTAGTGATTTTGGGGAGAAAAAAATATTTTGACTCTTTAGATCTAGGCCTGGATCCTAGCACTCAAAAATATAGATTTCTCAATAACAGTGCACTGGCAATATAAGTCCAATAGTATCAATATTATAAAGAAGAGTCCTACACTTCTTTAGTGAGCAAAATAATGATACATTTTGTTGTGTAAAAGTACTAAGACTGGTGTCTGGGCTATAATTTGGGCTTCGCGATAAAACAATGTCGCATAAACTTCGAAATCGTGTTTCAAAACTGAACCAAAACTTCTGATTTTCGGTGGAAAGTCAACATTATATTATGACCTTTATTTTAACATGGATATGTGGATTGGAATAGAAAACAGGCTAAAATTGAACGCCGGTTCTCGAGCCGCCGGGGGCGGCTGAGCGTACTGATGGCACTTTAGCCGCGCCGCCCCCCATGGCTCGGCGTAGCGAATGAGTTAAAGTGAAGTACAGAAGAGAATGCCACATTTTCCGCATTTAAGAGCTTCATTGTCATTTGTGGAAGTGCACAGCTTGCCGGATTCTCTCTTGGCTTCAGCATTTCTCATTCATGAAGCCCCATAGGTAGGAACAGGTGGTAGCCAGTTTCAATAAAAGTGAGCTTATCATATCAATAGGGAAAGTCCTGCAGCTCTTCACCTGACATTGGCAACATTCTAGTTGTATCATATTCAAAACTGCCCTAAATGAACACTAGACGATTTTTTAGCAACTAATTAAAAACTACTGGACATCCAGAGGTATAAACTCACAACTGTTTTGGCAGCTTTTGGTTTTCGCTCTTTCTTTTCCTTCTTTTCTCTCTCCAGTTTCCTCTTCTCTTCCTTCTCCTTCTTCCTCTGCTCCTTCTCCTTCCGCTTCTCTTCCCTGGCTCTCCTCTTCTCCTCCGCACCAGATCCCTCTCCATCACCACTTCCGCCACTATAGTCACTGTCAGAGTCTGAGTCTGAGGTGGTGGGCGGGTTGCTGTCGTATCTATACAGGGCAAAAACAGCAATCTACACATGAACTAAGCACTCACGTGACTTCATTTAAAAATGTATTTCTAAAAAAAACAACTAAACCAAAACAAGAAAAAAAAAAAAGTAAGCACATTTTCCTAAAAACTATCCAGATTGAACAAAACAGCAAACACATGTGAATCAATATCTTTCAACAATTTGCTTCACGGTGCATTTCCAAGACAGAATAAAGTGGAAAAAATAAAAGCACATTAAAATAAAAACTAAAGAGCTATGTTGATTAATTTTTTTAAATAACTGATTCTCACACATTTAAATCATTTACGATACGACCAAGACCTAAATCTTTAATCATGATTGAGTGTGAAATGTAAGTACTTGGAAACAAACAGCCTCAGATAAAAACAAAAAGTTTACAGGTTTCTTAAACAGGCGTTTTGGCAACTGAGCACAATAACAAACAACTTACTCTTCAGCGACTTCACTTCCACTCTCTCCTGGGTTGAAGGACTCATCTGAAGAAAAAAAAAAAGACGGTTTCGTTACAGACTGGTTCATTTGTTTAAAAAAAGCCCATAATATACTAATGATAATAATAAAAAATTTGAGTAAAAAAAAACCAACCAGCATTTGTATGGTACATATCCCCACTCAACAGCAAGCTCTGTGTGAGTTTACCATCAATACCATTACCTCAGCAGGTCCAAGAACACTTAGAAACATTTTCGATTTCCCGGGACACAAAACACACAATATCAGTCGAGTCATTTAATGCAGGAGAAGAGTATGAAAGACAGACAACCAGACAAACACAACAATGGGAGAGAAAAGAAGTAGGACCTACCAGTGGCACCTTCTTTCTATCCACCTGTTCATTGCAGTCTTGTTAGTAGAGTCATACAGCGCTCGCAACTGCATAAGGTCATATGAGCGCCAAGGGGCGGATGTCAACACAGAAGTCCTTACAGGGAATCAGACTTACTCTGCCCACCTCTCTAGCTTCAACAGCACAAAGTCTGCTTCGACCATCAAGGCACACCGGAAATAGCGGGTCACAAGATTGTGACAAACATACAAAAGAAGTAGAGGAAAAATGACGATAGTAGTAAGGACTTGGAAAGAAAAAGCAGCTGCTCCCTGTTGCAGTTCAGGCACAGTTATGAGCATGACATCGATGAATCAGCCCATTTACAATTCTTTCGTGCATAAGAATCGGAGTGGCCTAAAGACACTTCAGTCAGTAGCACCGTCCAGGGGGGTTCATTGCAGTCTGTATAAAACACTTTCTCTTTAATGTTCAAAATAATACAAAAGAAGTGACAACTCACACCTCTGCTAATTCATACCAAACCAACCAATATACACTGAGGCAGCAGACAAAAACATTTGTAAATTGACATGAACATCATCTCCCCAAAATTACTAATTCCACATGTTGACATCATGCAAAGTAAACACTATGGCACAAATTATGCCACAGCATGGGCCACTGGCATTTGCGGTGTTGCAGTTACCCATTTTGCCGTTGCACAAAGAAAAAGAGAGTTTAATTCCTGAGTGGAGATGTCTGTTCTATTTGAATATATCTGCGAGTCTGCTGAGACATACTTTGGGTTAATCCCGACAGGCAAGGTCAAAGTAGCCCACCTGCTAAATGGTGTCGCTTGCGTAAATTGGAACGTAAAACATCTACAACCACAATTTTTACAGCATGGGTCAAAATAATACAAATAACATGTAAACCTAAGAAAAGATAAGATTAATGTACAAGTTCCCTGAGCAGAAGGGAAAATGAAAAGAAACTGCTGTTGAATAGACCAGGGCAAGGTACCTGAGCTGTCATCGCTGTCATCATCATCTCTGTCTTTGCCCTCAGCTTTCATCCTCTCCAGATATGCATCATGGTCTCCACCTTCAGCATCACTGTCCGACATCTCATTGTACGAGATGGATTTGCCCTGAAAAAAAAAAAGAAATATATATGATATTGCACATTACATAGAACCATTTAAAACAAAAATCTATAGCTGTTTTTGACATGCCCAAGTATGAAACTGACTCACCCAAGCAGTGAAATCCCACATCATCTATTTAGCTAACTCTGTTAAAGTTTTAGTTGTAAGGGTTTTACTGAACATGCAACACAAATGGGACATACAAAAGCCGAAAAGTTTTACAGCACTTGCAACAAAACACGGTCAAACAGTGCCAAAGATTTTATGTGTTACAAGAGAGTAACAAACACAAAATAGTAGATGGGAAATAAAGACGGTGGAAATTCGATAGCAAAGGAGAAAACCACACCAGAGAGACCGCCAACCACCCATCAAAAAACTATATATGTTTTTGACAAGTCAAAATAAGAAATGAGCTTATCCAGGCCATGAAAACATACATCATCCATTAATCTTTTTTTTAGTTTAGTTTTAATAGAGGTTTTACAGCGCTAGCAACTGCATAAGGTCATATGAGCTCCAAAAGATTAGAGGCTTTACAAGAGAGTAACAAACATAAAAAAAGAAGAAGTAGGGATAAGTACGATAGATGTTTGATAGGAAAGAAGGAGCAAACCACACCAGAGCACCCACCAACCACCCACATCAATTAATCTAACGGACTGAAGTATCAACAGAGTAAGAAAAGTCACTAACCCGGCTCATGGCGATTTGAACATTGAAATAAAGAGAAGCAGCACATTAAGCAATGTGTAAATAAATAGTTCAGAATACAATCCTTTAAGAGAAAAATCTAAAATTTCTCAGCTTGGAAGACTTTGTTCAAAACTAAAAATTACAAAAAAAAGCACCCTTAGCAAACCATAGCATTTCCATCTCCACGAAACAAACAAAAAAAACCACAACCCTACTACAACATGATAGAAAATACATATCCGTGGTAGTGAGAAAATATAACATACTGACAGAAAAGTGCTTTGCATAATGATTTTTCACAGGCCCAATATTTAAAAAAAACTGAAATCACAAAGAGAAAACATCTCTTACCTTAAATTTTGTACCCAGAATCAAACATTTAATAATGCTAATGCTGATTTCCATGCCTCTATATATTTTACTTTGAACTATAACACACACACAGACTCTCAAAGCTTAAACACAAAACACACACTGCTCACAGAGAGAAAAAAAGAACCACAAGGCCCAGAGAGTACTCACTCCCTTGTCTCCGATATTCTTCACTCTAAGATTCTTGCTCTTAACAAAGTCGTAGAGTTTTCCATACTCATCCCTGGAACATAAAAGTGCATGTACACGTTACAAAGAATTCAACAATAGGAAGGAAACAAACACTTTTATGACATAGTACATTCTCAGCAACAGAACCCATAAATAGAGACCAAAGCAACCGAGTTGCAGTGAGCAGGAAAATGGATATATTTCCCCATGAACACATATATACATATATTGAATATTCAAAAGTGGAAAGAAATACAAGGAGCAGACCACACCACAGCAACTATCAACACTCGAGGGACAGAGGCAAATCTCATTCTAACCAACTGACAACAATAACCTCTGCCATACAACAACAGCATAAAATCATCAGCAGGGCTGCCCACCCACCTGCAATTATTTTAGTTATCAACAAATAAATAAAATAGTAATCTGGCTGAAAAATGTGCAATAATATGGCAATGGATAGTCCTTATCCCTTGAGTGTAAAGGACCGGGGTTGCAGTATAAGGAAAGGAAGTGACATAAACAGAAGCATTATGAAATTGAAAAAGGTTTCAGCAGGATCATCATCCAATAAGGGAAAACAAGGAGGGGAGGGGGTGTTATTGGTTGTCTGCCCGACTCTTGCAAAATCAAAAGAAACCAGCAGGACGCATCACAAGCCTTAAATTCTGATTGAGCATCACAATACACTATGCTGCCAACCGTAATTAAAAATCCTCCAAAGAGTGAAAACTGTACTCACTTCTCCACACCCACAAATGTAAAGGTAGCTCCGTTCTTCGTGTCCACTTCAAAATCAAATGAACGCGTACTTCCAGCACTTCTCGCAAAGTTCACATTAGCCACCTCGTCGAAGCGAATGTGTAGTGGGGGTTTGTGAACGAAGATGAAGCCTCTCTCTAGTGGGTAGAGCAGACCAGTGGCCGCCTTGTAGGAGCAGCTGACAGCCTGGGCTTGAGAATGTCTGGGGAGGAAAGTAATTTTTAAAAAAAACTAAACACTGCATCCATGAAGAGATTATGAATAGGAAATTCATTGCTTCAATTGTATGTTCAAGGGTTAAAAAAAAAGTGAAGTTGCAATAGCATAATTTGTTATGGACATGTTCCCATTTTACAGGAAAATATCGATAATTTAAAAAAAATTATAATTTCATTTTGTGTACCAGTCATACATTTAGATCATTGCATCACTTTGACCTTCTTTTCACCAAAAAATGAATCCACTTTGGGTTGGAGGATCCTCCCACTTGTCGATTTCCAATAACAAGGCTGCAAATTTCAGGGAAAGGGACAAGCGCACTGACTTAACATAGAAAGATACCCATGACACCCAAAACAAAGACTTTTAACTGAGAGAACTGATTAAACAGCAACATCTTTTTTAAAATCAGGCCTGAAAATATTCCACTCTAAACCCCAACCCACGACCTGAGAAGCAGTAGGAAAAACATGACAAAAAGCCTAAAATATCTACCAATCCATGTAGCATGGAGCTCATTTGAAAACCACATGTTCTAAAACATGGACTCATCCAACACAGTACAAAAAACAACATTTGCAAAACATTAACTCAATTTCTGAGTTTGAGTAAAGAGATGCACATCGACACACAGATGGTCATTTAGTGCTGGGGAAAAGTAAGACAGACAAATAGAAACAACAGAAGGAAAAGAAATATGGCGCCCTCCAACCATCCTCTCAGAAAACAACCTTATCTTAAACAAGGACTCACCCAACAAAGCTGCCAGGCACAGTGATCTTCCGTCCAGTGATGGCCTTGAACACTTTGCTGACCACCTCAAACTCCAGACCCGACATTTCCTTCTGCAGCTTCTCCTCATACTTGCTCTTGATCTCGTCCCTGGAGTTAAAAGATGAACCATCATTTCATTTTAACAGCATCGAAACTATCACCCTCTTTGCTTATAAAATAAAACCAAGACTCAGAACGTTTGAAGAACTAAAATTCACAGAACGGCCACTGTACCACTGATATAATGCTGACACCCCTTCACCCCCCCCCCTTTATATTTTGAAATAAAGATGACATTTTACTTTCTCAAGTACACCGGACCCCACTTCTTTTAACGATATGCACACGATACACCCCCAAAAGAACAGACACGACTTCATGTTGACGGCCATTGTTAGACTGGGTAAACATAACGACTACTCATCTTATTCATGATTTGTATATATGAGCAGTGGGAAAGGCTTTTAATATAGGTTATATGACGGATCGCACACCTCCCTCGCCAGCAGCTGGAAATTTTTAAAAAGTTTTAGTAAGAGTTTTACGGCACTTACAACACAATTAGGTCATATAAGTGCCGAAGATTAGAGGTGTAACAAGAGAGTAACAAACAAAAAAGAAGGAGGGATAAAGACGATAGATGTTTGATAGGAAAGAAGAGGCAAACCACACCACAACACCCGCCAACCACCCACTAACAACAGGAAATCTGTTACCAGCTGGTCACCTTGGGCAAACAGTGGCAGGGACCTACACAACATGGTCAATTCCTTAATTGTTTTAGTATTAGTTAGAGTTTACGCCACTCTCAACTGTACAAAGCCATATAAGTGCCAAAGACTAGAGGTGTTACAAGAGAGTAACATACACAAAAAAGGAGGAGAGATAAGGACGATCGATGTTTCATAGGAAAGAAGGAGCAAACCACACCACAGCACCCGCCAATCACCCACAGTTCATTAATTGGAGGGCTTAAGAATAAAAACAGGTGAATGGATGATATGACGGCTTGTCCACAGCATCAGGGGCTGCTATTATACTTTAAGACAAACCATCAGGTGGCGCGACATTTGCATGGCCATCTTTTATCGGGGGGGTAAGTGTTTAACGACTCTCACAACTGCATGAGGTCATATGAGCGCACGGGACACATTAAACATTTTTCAGTTCGTAAGAAATTTTGAATTTTGCCCGGGTGGCTGCCGAAGCCTATTCTTATCGATTTTAGACAACCAACGGATCTTTAACGGGTGCAACTTGCACATGGGACCTCCAAGATTTCTCGCCCTTTGTCCAAGAAGGCTAGGTGTAGATCTTACATACCATAAGATCAGGGGTGTGGTTGAAAGACAGCAGTAAGAAGGAGCCAAGGAAAAGCAGTAGAAAGGCTGCAGAAAGAGTCAGGAGCCCAAAGGAGAGGGAAAAGAAGGTGATGGGGTGGGGCCAGAAGGTGGAGACAAAAGCAGACGAATATTGTTCAGAGCTTCCAGCAGCTGATGTCATTTTTTGAGGATTTTCGGGTCCAGGGCAGCGACCTGGCAGGGCGTTTAAGGGGGACGTTAGAGATTTTTTTGTTTCAGGGCATCCTAAGTATGCTATTTCTGGCTATTCACAACAATAAGTAACGAATCCCTAAACACCACAAAACCAAAAGGACAGGGGCAGTAACTTACTCGGACAAAGTCAGCTCTAGGGTCATCTCATCTTCCTTCTGGAAGAGCAGAATGAGGAAATGATACCTGGTCTGACCTTGCTTGATGGGAGGATCTAAACTGATCTGTGGAAGGTAGACAAAATAGTTTAGTTATGAGTTTTACAGCACTTGCAACACAAATACGTTACAAAAGACCTGAAGATTGTTAGAGCTTTTATTAAAGAGTAACACACAAAGCAATGGAGGAGAGATAAGGACGAAAGATGTCTGATAGGAAAGAAAAAACAAACCACACCACAGCATCCACCAATCACCCACTATTAATTCTGAATTCAAAGTATAGGGTAAGAAATTGAATGCCCATTAAACAATAAACTAAAAATAAAATTGGGAAAGAGAGTAGAATAAATGCCCCTCCCTTGTAACATTGAAGGTTGTTCCAGATGCAAGACCTCTGAATTGAATGTCCTATAGGACCCTGTCAATTTGAATAAAGTGCCTTTCTCAAGGGCACAACGTCAGACCAAGCTGAGCCTCTTAACTTGGGTAGGAGCATACAGTATGCAGGGAATAAACAGGGAAATAGCATGAAAGTAACAGACTGGGAAAGTCAGGTGACAAATGAATGCTGGACACTTGTAACAAGAAATGGTTATAATTTTGGTAGCATAATTTCTATAAAGAATCAATAAAGAGACTTTGGTCATAAGTCTGATTCAACTAAATACAGGCTTCCCTACTGGTATATCACATGTGAGTTATGAATGGAAGTGGCAAAAGGTTAAGCCACCATAACCTGAAGTGACTGGGGACATGTTTCAACAACAGCATATTTTCTTCTACGTGTTGACTTTCACCCCAAGTACACTGATTTACCAAAGTTGAATCTATTATAACAACCACCTGTCCAACACATTCACCAGTACAAATGACCATTTCTCCAGGATGCGTTTTTTCTATACTACAATGTAAGTGTCCAAGAAGACCACTTGGACAGGTTCAACTGTATTTGAATCATTCATTCAAATTAAACACAATCAGTGGCTTAACGCAAAATTTTACATCATTCTCACTAGCATCTACCTGACCAGAGTGACACAGACAAAGTTCATAGTCCTATGGACCCAAGGCCACTTTTAATCTCCACAATCACTTTTAAGGTAAACGACAAACTTTGCCACCAATGGCTATACATTTGGATCATTTCTTGAAGACCAACCTTTTGGGCACTTTCTGTCCATCGAGTATTTTCTCAAATATTATCTTATCAAGATGCAACAATAAAAACAAGTTTAAAAAAATAAATTAATAAATAAAAAATGTACACATAGGTGCATAATGGCTTACCACAAAGTACATCTGACGTCCATCTTTATGTGGCAGTAAAAAGAGGCGCAGAATAGTCTGGTATGGGATTTTGTAATCAAATGTTTTACCATGGAGCTGCAGGAAGCCAGGGAAAAGTTTGAGATCGTAACGACCCCTGAGGAGGAAAAGGGAGAAGAAAATAATGAGTACCACATAAACTGAAGCTGTGTCACATAAACTAAAGCTCTGTTACATAAACTCAAAATGTATTATTATGAGTGTCGATGACGGGATGAGTGAGAGATTATATCATATTGTGTGTATGGGTGTGTAAGATGTGTGTGTGGTGAAACACCATACTTAGGTGCCAGTATCTGGACAATAAAAATTAATTTTATCATATCTTTGTGGGACATTCTGAGAGTCCCTCATTACGAAAAGAGCATGTCCATGATCATCCCACCCCTGGGACTGAATCAACAACATCTAGACCCAACTAAACCATTCATATTAATCGCATAGCAATGAAGGGTCTCACTTGTGAAGACATCCAAACTTACATCAAAATGTTTGTTTTCTAAATCAAGAACAGAAACATCTAAATCAATTTAGATTGGTCTGTTGGAAAATTAAGCTTTCAGAATAATACAACCTTTGCTCGGGTGTGTTATTTATTATTATTAACTTATGATGCTTCTATTTAGATCAAAAGGCTGTACATGGTAACTCCCAGCAATAAAAACCCCACTGAGACTTATAACAAACAACTTTTAAAAAAAAGAAAAAAAAACAATGAAGAAGTGAAAGATATGACTATGGATGATAAAATATGAGAGAGAGAGAGAGAGAGAGAGAGAGAGAGAGAGAGAGAGAGAGAGAGAGAGAGAGAGAGAGAGAGAGAGAGAGAGGCAGATTGCGACAGAACTCGGAGACAAATGATTATTTTAAAATAAGAAGAATTTTCAAGCAGACTACTCTTGACACTAAACGCTTGGTAATAGATGTTGACATCC